AGGAAAGGCCTCACTGAAAACAGCCTAGGATGTTCGGCTCCCTGAGGGCATGAAGGGTAAAGTTCATGCTGTGCAGAAGGTCAGGCAAGGCTTATGTTCAACTTCTCACATCTGAATGCACGCATGGGAAGTGGTGCAGGAGTTTTGTCCTGGGTCTTTCCACAGAGGTGGAGAAAAAGATAAGAATTTACATTACTTCGTGTTGAGTCCTTATTTAAAAAGCTCCGGCAGCTTTTACCGTAGTGCTTAGAGGTCCTGACCAAAACCATGGCCTCCCATCACACAGGGCAGCATCTAAACATGTATCACAAGCCCAGGACCTAAGCCAGAGTTTTTGGAAACTGGACAGTGGTTGGTTACAGTCCAGTAACCAACCCGGCCTGACTCTGGACAGCTGGTCTTCAGTTCCTCACCTTGCAGACTTGGGCTGCCGCAGCCCCGCCGGGCTGGTCAGGGACCTAAGAGGGGAGAGGAGAGCAAGAGCAGGGCTGCTCGGCCAGGCCTGGTGGGCAGAGGCTGGGCACGGGTGGCAGGCGGGGGTGGAAGGCTCAGTGCAAGCACCAGATCTGCCCCAGTGTGGCAAACTGCGCTTGAGGTAGCGTGAGTCAGGAGCCATGTATGCCTCGCGAAGAACGGCCGTTTCTGCCTGTCCTGGGGGCCAGGGTGCTGCTGGTGTCAGATGCTGGAGCTGACTTCATCGAGCTGACGCCTGCTTGGGGACGGGCTCTCTGGCCGGCCTGTACCTGTGCTGGCCATTTGCACTGCTGCCCCCTCTCATCCCTCCTTTCGCTGCAGTTTCTGGGTTGTGCGAAGCGCATCTTTCTAATTCACTCTTTAGGCGGCGATAGCCAGTGTGCAGGTTCTGCTTTTTTAGGCAATAGTCAAAATCATCTCTATGCTGCCTTCGTGTTTTAAACCATCACAGCTTCAGCTGAAGACCTTACTGTTGCAAAGAAAAGGTTCTCGCTCTCTGCATCTCTGAAATGAAATACACAGTATCAATACATGCAAAACATAAAGGCCTGATTAGGTTCTCCAAATTCCGAAGGTGTGTTTTGTTGCCTGCAATTAACAGTGGGTGTAAACACAGGTGCAAAATTAAAGGCAGAATGCGGGCTTATTAATAAGCTTACGGTTAAATGGCTAGGTAATAAATACTAATAGGAAAGCCTGGTATTGAAGAAACTTAACATTTTGGTCTTGATTCTTTTGACACTGAGCCAATCACTTTGGACAAGATAGGCCAAATTTCTTCAACCTGGACACCTTTAGTTCAGTCACCTAAATCAGCAGCAGCAGCCATGACATGACATCTGCAGGTTTCAGGGACAAGTACCTGAGCCTTTCCTCTTGATCTCTCCATTTCTTGTTTTGTCATTTCTGAAAAGAGGTGCAGAAATATGTTCATACCTCTGAAGGTAGTTGAAAGGGTAAGAAAAAGCCTGATCGGTGCTGACCCCCATGCCAGCGATGCCATCCCTTTATGGCATTTTCGCTTGGATTCACGGGAGGGCCAGTGAGGTCAGGGAAAGCCCAGGGCAGGGGCAGCCTCACTGCAAGAGCAGAGCTAGGACGCTGATTAGAAATGAAGGGTACAGTTTCTGTGGGCTGTGGAACAGTGTATGTATCTCCAGTGGGATAAATACACATCTTACAAAAGTCAAAATGATGTTAAATTTGCTAGCACATATAACTTGCTGGTGTAACATGGTGTAACATGCTGCTTTTAGCACAGCTACCTTGATCTGCTTAAAGGGTGGGTTTTATCTTACCTCACTTTGGCAGTCCATGCGCTGGGTGTCTACCCTGGGCTACTTGGAGCAACTCCCATATATTCAAGGGAGAGGGGTGGATGCGTTTGCAGGGCTAGTCATCCCACCTGCAACAAGCAGCTACCTTAGGATGAGCTGAACCATCTTCTGGAATTGCCTGTCTTGTGCTCTTCGCTCCATTTTTAGATGGATGAAAGTTGGGTTCGTTGAACTCTTACCTCAGCTGCACTCTGACCTGTTCATTTAAAAGCCTAAAACCACGATCAATATACATCTTTGCTTTATATAAATACCTGTGCATAAATGTCAATATATAATCAATCTGTATATATATAGAGTATATATACAGGATAAAACTGATGGATTTTATGTGTACGCGAGTGTGTGTGTATTTGTGTGCGTACATGACTGCCACAGGTTCTGCATTATATTCCCATAGTGCTCATGCAGCATTAATGTGTAGCCAAACATTGTTCCACTATAGACACAGAGGCTCAGCTTGTAAAAGTCTCAAAAAGGATAAATGAAGTGCTCGGTTTTAATTTATACGTAGATAATTGAAATACGGGAGCAGAATACTGTGGACCTGTCATCTGATGCCCATCTTGAAGTGGGTAAAATACCCATTGTGAAATGGGTATTTTAAGTCAATGAACGCCAGTGATTTTAAGGCTAGCGTTAGGGACATGTAACCTTTTCCCCTTGCTCTCATCAGAGGAAAAATAAAAAGAAAAATATTTATTAGAATGACCCTTTTTCTTCCCTCCTCCCACTCCAGTTATCCAGAAGACAGTATCTGTTGGGACACACTAATGTGGGTTTCCCCAGAGCTGGGGTGTGAAATGCCACCCAAATTTGGGAGGGGGGAGCACAATTTAGGTTGCACTTGGAAGCCACTTAGGAAGTTGCCTTGTGATGGTGGGAGGTGGAACACAGTGGGGATTATGTATTGATGGCATACGGGAAGATAATATTGGGGACTAAGGGAGAAATGATAACAAAAATGAGGACAAAAGAAGCCCCCGTTGTTTTTTGCAGCAGTATTTTGTGCATAAATTGTTATTTGGGTGTAGTAGATCCTGTTATTACACAACCCAGCTGTGAGGAGCATCAGGAAGAAGAATCTGCCATTAAGCAGAAACATTAAGAGTTAGAAAACCTGTAGCAAGACTTGTCGTTTGTTCTGCAATGGTATTACAATGCATAGAAAAAGTAACAGTATATTACTGTGGACTCCAGGTGGTGCCATATCTAACATGTATGCTATGTTGATTGCACGTTTCAAGATGTTCCCAGAAGTTAAAGAAAAAGGAATGGCAGCTATTCCCAGACTGGTTGCCTTCACGTCAGAACATGTATGTGTTTCTGGTTTTTTCCTATCTGTTACATCTGCTTGTATGATTTTATGATGAACAAAATAAGTGAACGGGAATTTGTAGCCAACTGTCTTCATTTCTGTTATTCGGGAAGGGGCTGGCTTTTTGATACATACAGGGATGATCTGTGCTCAAAAACAGCTTTTTCTGTGGCTGAAACCCAGGCAGAGTAGAATCTACAAACTGCTGCCATTGTTCTGCTCTCACCTGTGTCTGTGTAAATGTCCATGTGAAGGGTAAGGACCACATCAAGCAGTGGGAGCTTAGCGTCGGGCTTCTGCACATTTTGCCAGGAGTGTGTTTTGTTTGGGTCAGTCTGGGGGTACAGAAAATCACTGAATGATTCTAGCTTGAAACCACTCCTGCTGCTACCTGATGAGAGGGTGATGACATGCGTGAAGGCAGTAGTATGGAAACGCTGTGCGTGGGCAGCAGTGCAGCTGTACGGTGGGGAGCTGGGCTTTGCTGTGGGTTTCTGTGTGCGAGCAAAAGCTGCAGCACGCTGGGGTTTGTCGCAGGCACCGACAGGATCTGGCAGTGCAGGAGGTGAGGGGCGGTGGGCACGGGAGAAATTGGGAGTGGTCCTCATGGGGGAAGCACAGAGTGTTTTGCTCTTTGAACAACCATACAGAAGTCATATTTCTGTCTGTGTTGCGGGGGTTGTTTTGGCTTTATGGCCATTTAAACCTCCTTGAAGCTTATGGTGGAGAATGCATGTGCAGGGGAAAGGGGGAAAGGAAGGGTTATACCCTGGAGGGGCTGTGAGCTCTCTTTGGGCTTCACGGTCCCCTTCTAAATTCCTCTCCAGCTGTGTGGGCTTGGTCAAAGGACTCTCTCATGGCTGGGGCTCAGCAAGATGCCTTCCATAGTAGGTGACAGCATCCTCCTGGCTGCTGCCTTTGATTTATCAGAGAATGTGTTTCCATTCTGTGCAAGTGTGAAGAGCAAAGTGTCCTAAAAACTGATCAGAAACGTCTGGGAGGAAACCCCTCCGAGGTTACCTTTCATGGCAGTAGGATGAGATGTGATACACAGCTGCAGGCTCCACATTACAAAATAATTTTCCCCAAAGCAGTCAGAAAGAAGGATATTCTACACGAGTAGCAACTCTCCAAAGTTGGCTGTACAGCTAGAAATGCATTATTCATGTGGAAGTTACAGACCTAATGCCTTGCAAATAAGGTTCAGCATGATCATTTAACAAATCTTATTAATCATTAGAGAATTTCATTGTATTCGTAGCAATGGAATGTTAAACAATGAACGAAATTGTGCTATCAGTCTCAAAATAATGAAATGAGCTTTAATAATTGTGTTTTCATGCCAGGGAAGAAGCAGTTCCCTTAGCAAATTAAACATTCCAAAATCAAATATACTAGCGAATCCATAGAACAGCATCTGAAATCCACTACTTTTTTAAAGTATCTTGAAATTGCATTTTTGCCCCTTCCTCAATCAAGTTTTTTATTAAGTACGTAATGGCACATCTTCTGGGGAACTTAAGAAACCACGCTACATGAAGACAGGACCCTTTAACCCTTAATTGCCCAAAAGATATGGGATCGGGGTTTAACCCTCAAAATAGCAGAGGCTGTTACAGGAACTGCAGATAAAAATAAAAGTATTCCCTTTTTAGATAGGAAATGTCATGCAGAACCTGAGTAGACACTAAGATACAGGAACGTCATTTATCTCATTTAGCATGTCATGCTGATTTACTTTTAGACTCCACGGGCTGATTCTGGTTTCTCTGCCACAGTTGGATGGTCTTGTAAGACGATGGCATGGAACAGTCTATGAATGAGATAGTATCATTTCCCTATAATCTGTATGTGTGGCATGATAGTAAACAAAGCCTAAAGTTATTGTATGTGTTTAGAAACTTGGAGATTCTTGTCTCAAAATTTTCAGTCAGAAGCAAAGATACCAGTATCAACAATTTTCAGGCAAGAATTTCAGCATCACAGACCAGACTCTGTTTTCATTTCTACTGGTCTAGAGCTTCCATTACTATAAGTGAATGAAGTTACTCCTGAATTGCCACCAATATTACTGTAATCAGAATCTGGACTCGGTCTGATGCCATGAGAGGTTCAGCTGCCAGTGGTGGGGAAAGGAAGGGAGGAGTAATTCACAGCTCCTAAGTAATTCCCTTCCTAGTTTAGGAGTGCATCATGTTCTTAAATTAGGAGCCTCGCACTCTGCAGTCAGTGAAGAGAGGCACCTCTGGAGGGAAACTCAGAGCATCCAAATTAGAAACCTAAATATTCCTTAATTTAGATGTTGTAGATCACCTTTGGGAGGGGTTTACCTACTTCTGTGCATTGACCATACAGAGAGATCAGCCTCCTGATATACCCAGCCTACATTAGGTGCCTAAAATAGGTTATCTGACTATTCCAACCGTGCATGTTCCCATTAAGCAGATCTTCCCCGAGCTGTTCAGGAGGACCGTGACTTATCTCTCACTCTGCTTCTGTTTATTTCTGTTTCACCACTGACGGTGGAGTGCACTGTAAGTGCTTGGGCCAGTCTTAGCCCAGGTATAATTTCACTGAGATGCACTTGTGCTCAGAACTTAATTCAATCCTCTGTATTCACCAGTGCATCATCAGTGGTTCTTTCATCTGCACTGCTGCAGAAGCAGAGTGTGTCCTTCAGGGCAGCTGTTTTGGACTGCACGTGACACAAGAGACCTTGACTCAGAGGGGTAAAAGTGATGGATGCCAGTTGTAAAAACTTACTTTAGTCTGTCATTTCAAACACAATGAAAAACCTAAGATGAAGGTTTCCTTCCGTGTTCCATTGCGTCAGCTTTAGGCTGCTGTGAGCATTCAGCTGAGCACATCCTTTTTTCAGTGTAGAGAAAGCAGCTGAAAGGGAGAGTTGCCGCCTTAGAATATTTTCATTGATCCATTCATCTGTAAGGCAAGTCCTGCTGGATTTTACCCCATTCTCAGTTGTGATTTTGACCTGGCCAACTAGCACTCTAGACAGCATGCAGCAGTACCTGCGAATAGCGTGAAGCAGGGATCGCCCCTAGCAGGCAAAAAGGACAAAGTCCTTGTACTCTGAGGAGGAAAGGGGTACAGAATGGAAAAGTTTAGCTGTAGAAAACTAGTAGGGTTCAGGTTAAAATACAGTCCTTGGCCTTTTTATTTGATAGTATAAAAATACCTTATGAGACTTGCAGCTTTTACATGGACTTGATGTTTAATTGGAGGCTAAACAGACTCAATCCACAGTTCAGGGAATGAAAAAAAGCTGGGCATAATTGGAAGGACAGAGATTTCTTCATCTCCTCTGTTCTTCAACTCAGCAAGACTGTGTTCATGTAGTCCTCATCAGCTTTCCTCTTTTCCCACCCCTCTAGCAGCACTCCAAGGAGGAACACCTTGTCAGGTGCTTACCAGGGAAGTAGCAATAAAACTCCTGTCTTAATTTTGGAAAAGAAACCACAGAGTAAGAACTGGCAGTTCACCCAGTTAGAGAGCAAAGGGAGCACAGAGAGGGTGTCTCTGCCTCTGGCATCCCCCCTTCTGCACCGCTCTCGGGGTGAAACAGCTCCTGCCCGAGGCTTCACTGGGAGTATGGCTCCCGCAGCCACAACCACGGGGAGTATGCCCCCGGCAGCCACAGACTGTGAAGGGAGAGTCTGTTGGCAGCTCAGGGATAAGGTGTCAGTGTTGTAGACAGCCAGTCTTTTTCAGAGGGACCGCATTCTCTGGAGGAGCACCGGGAGCATCTGTGAGAGGTGGCTTTTCTGCGGTGGTAGGGGAGCACCCTCACAGCGATAGCACACGGAGCATCCACACGTCGCTTAGATCGGAGGAGGCAGTTTGCAGTAAATCACCACTCTAGCTTCTTGCACACTGATTTCCCCTCGTGGGCAAGCCCCATTATTCACAGGGAATACAGCAAACTACACCAGTAGCTGTGGGAGAAGAGTGGCTTTTCAGTTTTTGTCTGAATAGTTTCTGAAACCTAATCTGGAGGTTCTTGGCGCTGAGGCAGAAGGAAATTAAAAAGTGACTTCTGTCTCAAAGAAGACAGCTCGGCAGACCTCCCTTTCACGCAGCCTATGGAAGATTTTGGTTTGGTTTCTGTGCAGAATGAAAAGCTGATCTCTAGTCTCACCACTTCCACGGCATGTAGCGTTGCCCTCTAACCAGGCTACTCGGGAGAAAGTTTCCAGGACTGGCAGCTGCAAGAAGCAGTCCAAGGGGTGGCCTGTGTGGTAGGACTTGCAGGGAAAGATTTGAGGAGCCTGGAGATAATGTTTTCCACTTGGTGGCATAAATTATGAAGCTGGAAGTTACACTTCTAAGAATACAGAGTAAGAAGGACATGTTTTCATGTCCATCAAAGGAAACTAAAAATCAAACTCATGGATTCACACATCCTTTCTTTGCATTACCTAATGCATAACAACTAGGAAAGTATTGCTTGGTGGTATTTGAAGCCAGAGAAAAACAGTGAAAAAGTTGGTCTTATTTGAGGAGCAACTTAATTCAAGTAACTCCATTCAAATCAAAGCAAAACCATTTTCCAGAAAAGCATGGCTCTAGGGCAGCCTGTTCCAAGGGAGGCATTCATCACTTGGGTCTAATACTTCATTTGGTCCATATCTCGTGACTTTTACATTGCCACAGAATCCACCTGAACTCAGTGCAACGTTTCTTATCCACAGGTAACGCTGCAAAACTCTCTGCACTGGAAAAAAGCAAATTGTGAGTCTTGCTGGACTAGAAAAGCAGTATGAAGCTATAAATGTCAAAAATGCAAATGATGGAAATATTAGTACGTTGTGCAGAAACAATATATTAATTTCTCCCCTGACATAAAGAAATAACTTTAAAAAGTGAATAGCAGTAGCTAAAGGAAACAGTAGTCAACATATATATCATTACAGTGTATTTAAAAATGTGATGGGACACAGTATACTCTCTTTGTAGATAATTGAAGAAAAAGCTATAGCTTACAATGAGACATTAAAGACAGGATTCATGTCACTTAACTTTAATCACCTAAAGTGTAAACATTTAATCTGAGTTAGTCTGTGTACTTTTTATAGCCAACAAAAAGAGAGAGAGATCTGCAGAAGACAACTCATCCTAGTCTAAAATGGGTGCCAAGGCCTTGGGGATGAGGTGCCTTCTGGAGGTACCTTTTCTTCCCCACTATTGAGGGAGCCCAGACAGCAAGCCTAAAGCAGACACACGTTTTTAGATTATTAAAATTAAGAGAGAGGTAGCCCAGCCTGCGCATCCAGAGATGCCACATTGTTTAAAGCCCAGGGCAGATGGAGAGCAAGGCACGTGCGCCTCCTTTGCTGGCATGTGGCTGATGGGGTGAGGCTGAGGGGCTAGGTCTGCAGAGCACTGGGGTGCCAGTGACCAAACCGGCGGACCGTGGAGAGGTTTCGGCTCCTGGACGGCTCAGCTTGCCCAGCATTTGGGAACTCGCTCCTGATGAGGTCCCTCCACAAAGCTTGTACCACTGTGGGTTTAGGTGAGCAGGGAGAGACTGCAGTCTGAAAAACCAGCCGTGGCCTTTGGGGCTCACCGTGTTAGGGTGGCTCTTCCTGACAGCCCCAGCCAGACCAGATTATGAGCAATTAATTTAGCAAGCTATAAAAATAGAAGCATCTGTATATTGAAGGACTGTTTATTTAAGGTAACAATGTCATACTTTCAGCATCATAACATTTTTAATTATCTAATTCTTCCTTTTTCCAAAAGAGCTATTCATTATTGCACCTGTAATAAGTTTACAATGTGTTTTTACTTTACAAAGCTAACTATGAAAAAATGGCTATCAGGCAAACAAATTTACTCCTAACAGCATTTGACTTAGACAAAGGGAAGATTTCCCTGACTCAAAATCACCTTTTTTTGCCCTGACCAGTAATGATGGTTGATGAATACTCTATGCCTTCTCCTTCACCACTGAATTTTAACCACATTTCTTTTCAGAGGCAAATTGGTGGTATTTGAAGCCAGAGAAAAACAGTGAAACATACCGGGGATGTGTTTGTAGTCTTCCACGCACCCTTTGGCAGTGCAGCACCGCATGAAGGGAGGGAGGAAGCCGCAGTGACAGCCCACTCCCACCTGCATGTCCTCCTGTCTCTGGTGGGCACAGGACAGTGGTGAAACTCTGGTCCTGCTGCCTTCTCCTTGCCTGTTTTTTCCTTCAGGACTGGCATCAGGCAGTCTGCCCATCGTCCCTTTTAACCCTGGTTCTCCCACCACAGGACTCCACATCCGAGTAACTCCTTCATGGCTGTGTGCTGACAGGTGGTCGTCAAGCTCACTTTCTTGCATGGCCGAAGAGCCAGTAGCCCCCATATTCCCAATCTCTCTGATATTTGTATTTTTCTACGTTTACCTTCATATTATACAGGCAACCAAATTTTCAGCACCATCCCAGGAACATTAAAACAAAGTTTAATATTCATCATCACTAGGAAAGTTTTCTTTGCTCTTAAAAGTTCACCCTGGCTCTTTTAGAGCCTCTCAGTCAGTTAGAGTAATTCCTCTGATGTTACCCTGAGACACAAAAACATAACAGCAATCATATATCTGTGACTGCATATACAGACTGAGGATTTAATATTCAAAGTTTGTTTAGAAATTGTAATTGCATTTGCCCTTCTGTGCACAGACTTCTGTATTTCTTCCTAATTTATCCCTAAACTTGTTTTGATTCCTGGCCACTGAATTCCCTTCAGTCTATAAAAAGCCTTCAGGCAACTGAGCTATCAGCACTACATTCATTTTTTCCCAATTGCTGTTTTAGCAGCGCCATGAGACTTTTCAATAAGGCAGCTGAGCTTGGCCCTATTCCAGTTGATGCCTTTGAGCACATGGGCTTCATTTTCTTCCTCATAGTAAACCATTCAAATCCATATTTTCTTTTTTAAGGCATTTTGAATAGTTGTTTTCTGTTAGAAAAACAAATTGCGATAGTAAATCTATTTTAATTAATATGGAATAAGGAGCAAAATTCATGAATATAATGTCATTGACTCAAAAACCAGTGAAATATATATGTGACTCTTGACTCCTACGTCTTTGCCTGTATTTATATTGCACTACCCAGTATGTGCACGTGAGTTTGTATAATACATGAATAAAGAACAGATTAAATTTTTTTAAGTATATAAATTCAATTCTAGCTTCACATAGCATATCAATGAACTGTCATTATGCTGGCATATTCTAGCTCTGTTTCAATTTTTGCAAAGTTCAAAGATATCTTCCTAAACTTGGGCATTTTTTATAAGCCTCCTGATGCTGGTAGCCTCCTGCTCCCTGCTCTCATAAAGTTGCACTGCTGCACCGTGGCACTCAGGGAGACCCGCCAGGCTCAAAGAGACTTCAGTATCTTCCATGTACAGAGGTTTTTGGACTGGTTATAGTCCAAGCCTTAATCTACAGTGCATTTGTACTTGGGAAAAGTCCACTTTAGTGAAGCTGATGAAGCTCATGGAAGTGTGTTTGTTCAAAAATTCGGTTTCAAGAAATAAAGAACGTGCCATGAAAAGTAGCAGTGTGATGCTGAGCAGGCCCATGATGTTCAATGAGTAAATACTTCTAGCACCTTGTGAGTCCCAACTAGAAAAAAAGTAGGGCAAACCCCATATCTTACCTGAGCATACCACTAACCTGAGGTTTTTATAGCCTAGACGGTAACAGTATGTTAAGATCAAACATCTACCAGGTTATGATGCGTGCAGGTGCTGTGCACTTCCCACTCTCACAGACAGAAGATATGGCAGGGCTTGGTCTGCAGGGAAGGGGTGGAAGTCTCCTCACCTGATGTCATTCAGCACCCACTCCAAACCAGCAGCCCTCATGTGGGATGAATCCTTCCCCAGAGGTGCCCGTTTCCCCCAGAATGCAGAGGGAGCCTACTTAATGACTTAAGCTTGATGAGACTAGCTACAATGAAGCCAGTCTAATTCAGCAAAACACTTAAGCACAGGCACAAATCCCTTGTTGCTCATCTAAGCGCATGGGTATGCGTTTTATTTGATCATCAGTTTGTGCAAAAGTCAGTCTGACGTGCAGATGTTTACATTTCAGAACGTGCTTAATTTGGGGCCTAGGATGGTTTGCTGAACTAGGGCCCTAAAACTTGATTTTGGGTCTAGACAATGTAGTCAATGGCTTCTCAATACACATTGTTGGTGTACTGTAGCCATGCCCCAGGGGGGAAAGCTATACCAACCTACTGCATTAAAAAAAACTAATGTAGTATGAAAAATGTAATTTACCTGAAGAAGTGTTGTCAGATTGTCCGTGTATCGTCAGTGAGTCACGGCTCAAGAGCAATCTGAACTTCTGCCTAATGTCTGAATATTGAAAAAGTCAGTGGGCATCATGAAAACTTGAAGCATTTCAGCCAAAATGGTGAGTTACAAGCATATGAAAAAAGGATTTTGGAGTGGAAACCCTTATGCGACCTTAACCATAGCAGTCAGGACTCAATGAAAACTACCCCCTGAGGAATTTGTAAAACACAGGAGTTTTTTTAGTTATTAAGTTGAATGTACCTGATGCGGTTCTACTTTTCTTCCTCTCTCTTTCATAAAGTTGGTTTAGAATTTATTTTCATTTCTCAAAGTGTTTGTATGTATGGAGCCCTTTAGTATGCAGTGAAATCCCACTGACTTCATAGCCTTTAAGTGAGGCAGACACATGTGACCATCGTGTCCATCTCTTTATGCTTACTGTTGAAGCCAAATACTCCCTTGACAAAGCAATGGTGATCACTTCTCTGCTTTGTGGTCTTCTGTAGGCTATATGTCTTCCTTTCTCCTTTAACATCGTGGACATCTAAAAAGCCCTGTTAGATTTTTATCTCCTTGATCTTCTTTATAGTGTTAACAGCCTAAGCTAGTGATACTGTTAGTATACATAAGGAATTTCCATTTTTTTAAAGTTTAATAATCTGTAGTTAAAATTACTTTGGACAATATTGTTACAGCTGTGTTTGAGTTAATACAAAATCAGATTCTTGGTGGTATAATTTGATATAAAACTATTTCATTATCATAATCACTAGGATTTAAATTAGAATTATAAACCAACACTGGCTCAGGGGTTAAGTCTTACGAGCTAGAGAAAATTAGGCTGACTTGCACTTCAGTATGTAACTTGCACATTGTATTCTGTACGTACAGATTAACTAATAGTCTTACTGATAGCCCAGTTCTGATTTTAAACTGCAATAGCTTTATTTATTAATGGGAGTTACTACTAGCTTTCACTGGCATGAGATCACAATTAGGCTTCCTATCTTAATTTCTCTAAGTAGTATATTATTTGGCCACAAGTTACATAGCAGAAGCACATCACTCTGGACGCCACTAACTAAATGAATTCTCTAGGAGAGAATTTTTTGTTTCAGTAAATCAATTTCATAGCTGAATCCGTACAAGCAATAGAAGCTGCAGGTATGCATCAAGGACAGAATTTGGGTCCTTCATCAACCACAATTGTGTATTTAATATTCCAGGAGTAAATCTGGATTAGAGTGATTGCTGTTTCCCTAATTGACTGTAGTGACCTGATGTGAAGCCTCAAATTAGACTGATCAGTTTCCAAAAAGACTACGAATAGAATTACTGCCTGTGTGGGACTACTTGCTGAAGGGCTTGCAAGAGTGTAGTGTTTTATATTAAATCAGATAAGAAATAATAATGAAAATAATAAATAATAAGAATAAATGTGTTTTTTCAGAGTCACTTTTCTGTGAAGAAAGGAGCTGCAGCCTTGGGTATTGGTACAGATAGTGTGGTTCTGATTAGATGTGATGAAAGGTAAGTAAAGATGCCAAATACAGCTCTTTTTATCAGTACATAGAAGAGGATAATCAGATACTCGGCTCAGAGCGTATAGGATGCAGTCAACAGTTGTTATAATTCATCACAGTGCTGTCATCTTCAGCAACCTTACACTGATTTATCCCACTTGAGGAGCTGGTTCTGTCAGTAGCTTCTTTACAAGTCAGTTTTTGGAGCTCATCAAAAATCTTAAAGTTCCCTTCCATAGGGATTTCTTATATTTCTTTTTCTTTCATCCTGAACTGAAAAAAAATGTTTAACTAACAACCATTCTTCACATGTTCTGCTAAGAAATTAGGGAGAAGTTTGTTTTGGTCAAAATGGAGCACTTAGATACTCTCACATTTTGCTCCATTAAAATGGGCTGAAGTGGGCCATTTAAAGGAATAAAATACTGAGGCGCTTTTGCTAATGTCATTCTTTTAATTCACGTCTGCACCATCCTTCTCATCTGGACTACATTCCCACGGTGCCCTTGATGGGGCCACCCTTGCAATGGGATATACAGAGAAAGCTCCTGGCAGCATTGTGGGCAGCGTAGGGCAAGGAGGAGGATGGCCCATGGAAAGGATGAGCACAGCAGGCACCTAACCTACAGGTCCCATAGGCACTGCAAAACCAGTGGTAGATAACTTCTTGTTTAATTCACCCAACTAAAAGGTTTTGGAAACCTTGTTTGAGAAAACAAAGATATTAACAAAATCAACATGTTTTGTTGAAGATTTTCAATTCTAGGGAAGAAAACTTTCTGTGGGATGAAAATTAATAGAACAGTCTTTATTGATTCTACTGAGAATCTTTTCAATAGAAAATGCTCTTACTGTGAGTCCCAAATATCATTGTTATAAGGTATTGAATTATTTATTGCTCTAGCATAAGTGAAAGGTTTCTTGTTTAACTCACCCAACTAAAAGGTTTTGATTCTCTATGGAAACCTTGTTTGAGAAAACAAAGATATTAACAAAATCAACATGTTTTGTTGAAGATTTTCAATTCTAGGGAAGAAAACTTTCTGTGGGATGAAAATTAATAGAACAGTCTTTATTGGTTCTACTGAGAATCTTTTCAATAGAAAATGCTCTTACTGTGAGTCCCAAATATCATTGTTATAAGGTATTGAATTATTTATTGCTCTAGCATAAGTGAAAGGTTTTACTGCTATCAAAATACTCTGCTCTCACACTAAAAGCGGGGCACCAACTAAGCAAATTACAGTCCTAATCACAGTGCCTGCATATTGGCTTACGGACTTATTATCAATTTATTAACGAAAGAATGAGCAAACCTTGAAGAGGAATTAATAACAACATCAACACAACCAACACACATCAAAATAAACCTCTGATTGTTTCTATTCACTAAAGACAGACATGGATCAATGAAGTCATGTCTTCCTTCTTCTTGTGCAAATTCAGTGTGATGGTCTTCTATGAAGACCACAATGCTTACCCTGCCCACCCTGAAGTAAACAGCAGGATTACTGCGTGTCTCACCAAATCCCATCAGATGCCATTGGGATAAAGCAGGCTGTTTGCACAGATTGTGGGCTGGTGTGGTGGAGACGACCCTCTGTGAAGATGTGGACCTGTGGGAGCGTGAAGGAACAACATGAAATCTTTTTTTGGTCATGTTGCCAGCATGACCAAGCACAGTTCTTGGTAGCTCCTCTTTTCCCCATCCTGACCCACACCCGCCAAGTTTGCCTTGTTTTGCTGTACCATGGACTATGTAAATGTGTGGTGAATTTCAAGCCAGGAGAACATGCAGAAAATCATGTTCCCCCTGACTGGACCACCATGTATTTCCATTGCCTCTTTTACTACCATGCAGATATATTGGTAGCAATAGCATATTACCTGCAGGTTTGGGGTCAAAACACTTTAGTATTTTGATGCTGCTGGTGTGGCAGCAGTGGAGACTGTGTACAGATGTGGGTAATATGAGAAGACTTTGACACCAACACTTCTTCTGTCCTTAGTGTCCTTTTACTGCTGAGTCTTTTCTGCCTCTCCCAAAGCCAACCTACTGCTTGCTTCTTGGTAAAGCTTGGCATACTCAGCATGACCAGGGACTAGATAATCATTTGTCTTGGTTAAAAAAACTGGCAGTGAAGAGTTCTGCACAGCTTTGTGTGTGTTTGTATGCACAAACTCAAAAATTATAAACTATTAAAGACCAACATCTAAACTATGTTTGGAGGAGGAACTCATTGCCTGCCTTTGGCATGTTTTTTTTTTCCTTTATTCCTCTAATGATCTCAGAAACAGGTTTCGAAGATAAGACAACTACTGCTTTTCTCACTTTATCTCTCTGTAACTGGGGGGAACTCACGAGTTGAATACTCTTTAGATCTTGAACTTCTGTGAATAAAATCAGGGCTAATTTTTAAGACAGGTTTTGCAAAAAATGCAGTAGTGCAAACCCATTTCTACTGAAATAATTACTAACTTATTGTGAGCTGTGTAAGGATGAAAACTTGTAAAACTTAGCAGTATCTTATTACAAGAAGTTAGTAATTTTTTTTTTTTTTAATTTACGTCCATCCAAATGTCATGAAAACACTTCAGGGTTGTTTTTTTATGTAAAACTGAAACTCATGGTTTTGTTTCCCTAAAACTGCTATTTTGAGCTTCAGTAAAGGGTTTTTTTAAATAGCAACAGGAAACAGTGCTTTAGTGAGAAAAAAATGTGTCCAACTATACTAACAACTGAAAAAGTCCTTCAAAGTACATATACACATAAAAATCTAAATAGACAACACTGAAATCCAGTGAAGAGTTTATTCCTGTAATGTGGGGAGCTGTCACGTATGTATTGCTGTTAATGCATACTCTTGTCTTAGCTAGTCTTGTTTGTGGCTAAAATAAAGAAAAAACTTAACTTCATTCAATATCAGCACTGTTTTACCTTGCGCTTAATTCATTTCCAAGATTTCATAAATTAGCCTTCAAGCCTTGTACTGCCGAGTCTGAATCTCATGGGAATGGTTCATACTAAATGTGTTGCATATACAGTATATAGGCAATACAGAGGCCTTGTCAGTGCGTTTAATACGAGTCCAGACTGGTAGCTTCTTCTCCTATCCTGCTTCAAGCAAATGCGAACATGTAATGTGCCAAACCGTGGAACAGTCGCCCTGAAACAAGTTCATCCCTGGGATGGAAGTACAGAGATGGCTGCTTACGCCAGAGCTGAGTTGCACTGCTCAAGGACATTTTCTGTGCCTGCTGAAAGGGGACCGTGGGGTTTGGCACCCAACGAACTTCCTGGGAACCTGGGCCGAGCCTCTCGCTGTGAGCCTGGAGCATATTCCCAAGGCTGTAACATCAAACAGGACTCAGAGGCTCCATGGAGCTTCATCAGTCTTTAATGGGGGTGGCCACGAGATAACTTCTCTCAGTTACCATCACCATATTGATGCAAACTGGTTGACAAAATAATTAGCATAAAAACTCAGACTAATGGTCAGAGTCTATCCGTGCTCTTCAATGCTGCGTAAGACTTGGGCAAAAGAGTCGCTTTGTTCCTTATTTGGGTTTCCTAGTAAGTGAAGAAGTAACAGCAAGAGCTGATTTCAAGATTAAATTTCTAATATAACTCTCTCTTGCTCCAGAGGGAAAATGATCCCATCAGACCTTGAAAGAAGAATTCTCGAAGCCAAACAAAAAGTAAGTTTACTAGCTTTTCTGCTTCCAAAAAAGAAAAAAAAACCCAAGAATTATACAGCTAGATTTTTTGCTTTCCTTGGTAA